GTCTCAATCTCCTGACCTCGTGATCCACCCGTCTCGGCCTCCCGAAGTGCTAGGATTACAGGTGTGAGCCACCGCGCCCGGCCAATAGATTTAAATTTTTAAAGGAGGTATGAGAGATCTTCAACCCTTCACCTCCCCATCTCCTCCTATAACTGAGTAGAAGAGAAAGCCTAAGGTAGGGAGGGGATCTGTTGAAGGACTTGGTATAATACCCCGGAATGGGGCCTGACTCTCCTCACTACGAGGCCAGGGCCTATATCATTTTAGTTTTTCTGTTCTTTTTTTAAAAAAGTTAAATAGGCATATGTGAAAAAGCAGCAAGTTCCTGCTCTGCTCCATCTGCCCAAGTCCTTCCAGGGCCACCAGTGTCTTTTCATCGTTTGGGGATGTTTTTTGTGTTTTTGTTTGTTTTTAGTGGACAACAGAAGTACTTTTATGAGGATTTAGTTATTAATAACAGCAGCAGTAATAAAATATGTATTCCAAAACATCAAAATAGTAACAAATAAGGTTTTGTCTCGAAGAATATGATGCTCTTTTCCCTAAATTTGGGATATATAAATTACACACTCACCCTTTCACTCACTTCTAGAAATTTCTCCTGCAGATTTTTCCTACTTACTCATGTAAAATGGTGGATATTCAAGGTCATTTATTGCAGCATTGTCACATTAAAAAATTGGGAACAATTCAAATGTCTATCCATAGGAAATTGTCTAAATTCAGATACATCCACACAACTGGATATTATGTGGCTATTAAAAAATAAAGATGTCTATGTATGTCCGTGGAAAGATCTCTAAGATATATTGTTAAATAAAAAGTAAACCAAAACAAAAAATCAAGGAATACATAGCATGCTACCATTTATATTTTTTAAACGGAGGGAAGGGTAAGAATATGTATTAATATTTGTTTATATACACATGAAGAATCTCTAGAAAGATGCAGAGGAAAATAATAAAGTGGGTTTTCTAGGGTGGGAGGGTGAAGGTGGCTGGAATTAGAGACCAGGAGGAGAGGAAGACTTTGCCCCAAATTCTTTTTTGTAGATATAATTTTTGAATTATGTAAGTATCACCAATTCAAAAAATGTCTTCTCTGACTACTTCAAGATACTAATTAAAGGGTTGGGGGCAGAGTCTTACGTATAGGAACGGATTTTGAATATCCAGTTGTGGACACATACAAGTTGAGTAGTAATGATTGTTTTGTTTTCTTGAATTCATATCCTTTCATTTTTTTTTTTTCCTCAATGCCTCAGGTTTCTAGAAGAAGGGAACTTAGAAGAAGCTGAAATACAAAAGCAGAGGATTGAACAACTACAGAGAGAAAGGCGGCGGGTCTTAGAAGAAAATCACGTGGAGCACCAGCCTCGGTTTTTCAGGTTCGTGCCCGGATTGAGTAGGTTTTTGGTTGATAGGTGGTGCCAGCACGTTATGCTTCTGGTTCACAGCAAGTAAACAGCGCTGTCCCCAGATGAGAGCATTCTCCAGGCTTTTCCTGCTTCCACCTGGGGGAACTGCTCCTCTGTGCCAGGCCCTTCCCTGGCACTTGCCTTCAGGGCCTCCCTCTTTCTGACTTCAGGCAGGACGAGGGACTGTGTTTTTGCATTCCTTGAGCTTTCCCAGTGCCTCAACCAATGAGTTTTCAGAGGAGGTCCTCAGTCAGGGAGCCTGCCAGAGCTGGGTGCCAGTGCCAGGCCAGCTTATTAAATTCACAGTTAAGGTTGGTCACCCCCATAGGCACATTTTACACCATGACAAAGATCATTCACGATCACTCCACAGGTAAGCAGTACGGAAATTCCAAGCAGTCTGTTTCTTGCATTGTAGAAGTTCCAATACACTTGGGCTTGCATTTACTGTCATCTTTAAAATAACTTGCCAAGAAGGTCTTGTTAAAATAGATTTAATTTTTTTTTTTTTTTTGAATACAGAATCTTGCCCTGTTGCCCAGGCTGGAGTGCAGTGGTGCCATCTTGGCTCACTGCAGCCTCCACCTCCTGGGTACAAGCCATTCTCCTGCCTCAACCTCCCAAGTAGCTGAGACTACAGGTGCACGCCACCATGCCCGCCTAATTTTTGTATTTTTAGTAGAGACGGGTTTCACCATGTTGGCCAAGATGGTCTCAATCTCCTGACCTCGTGATCCACCCGTCTCGGCCTCCCGAAGTGCTGGGATTACAGGTGTGAGCCACCGCGCCCGGCCAATAGATTTAAATTTTTAAAGGAGGTATGAGAGATCTTCAACCCTTCACCTCCCCATCTCCTCCTATAACTGAGTAGAAGAGAAAGCCTAAGGTAGGGAGGGGATCTGTTGAAGGACTTGGTATAATACCCCGGAATGGGGCCTGACTCTCCTCACTACGAGGCCAGGGCCTATATCATTTTAGTTTTTCTGTTCTTTTTTTAAAAAAGTTAAATAGGCATATGTGAAAAAGCAGCAAGTTCCTGCTCTGCTCCATCTGCCCAAGTCCTTCCAGGGCCACCAGTGTCTTTTCATCGTTTGGGGATGTTTTTTGTGTTTTTGTTTGTTTTTAGTGGACAACAGAAGTACTTTTATGAGGATTTAGTTATTAATAACAGCAGCAGTAATAAAATATGTATTCCAAAACATCAAAATAGTAACAAATAAGGTTTTGTCTCGAAGAATATGATGCTCTTTTCCCTAAAGTTGATGTAGATTCTACTAGATCCCTTCTGATCATTTCCACAAATTCACGATATCAGTGATTGAAAATCAACTGGCCAAAATCTCATCCTGAAATATTCAGGCTTCATTTAAACATTTAAAGAATAAGATGGAAATGTTACATTCTTTTTTGAAAAAGGCAAGAAATAGAAAAATGGATAGATTAACAGACTGATCAGTTGATTTACTGATCAGTTAATAGATAAACACATTACACCCTTAAATAGGTTGGTTCTTTTTCTTTCATACATTGTCTGTTTTCATTTAAAAAAACTACAATTATAAAGATGTTCGTTACAGTACTTTTTAGGATCATTAAAAATGGTAGGTAACCAAACTGTCTCAAGGACTAGTTAAGGAGATTCACCAACTCGATCCAACATGAGACATTAAGGATGACCTTAGGAAGCCTGCGGAGCTCTGCTGGAAACACATTACCATGTAAATGCAAGATACAGAATGTGATTATGCTGTCATTGCAATCAGGAAGGAATTATGTCTGGAATGAAAAAGGGCAGCCGCTTCAGCTGGGCAGCCGTCGCTCTCTTTTTGACTGTCTATAAAATTATCATAGTATTAGATGGGGAAATACTTTTAAATTGGAGAAGGAGCGAGAGTTGTTCAGCAGTAGCAGTCCTCCATGGGACTGTTCAAATTAGAAACCTGGCAAAGAGATTTTGGAGAGGAATATGGGGACTTGGATGTTGTCATTAACACTTACTGAGGAACAACAACAAAATCACTGAAAATTCTAAGTGGAAACTGTAGCTCAGACCAAACTGAGCCTCTTTGTTTTAAAATAGTGAACTGTCTGATACACAGATTGACTCATTTTTAAACACATAGTGTTACTGGAATAGGAAAACAAGTGTGATAAAAATCTACATTCCTGAGAGTGTGGGAAAACAGGCACGCTCCACTTTGCTTCTAAACCATATGGTAATATCAGTCAGAATCACAAATGCACATACTCTTTGACCCAGCCATGCTAATTACAGGAATTGTTAATGTAACTATACGCACACACATACAAAATAACATGTGCTGAGTTAGAGTTTGGAAATAACCTAAGTACCCATCAGTAGGGTACCTGTTAGGTAAATTGTGGTCCATCCATACAATGGAATATCATACAACTGTGTAAAAAGAAAATGAGGAATCCTTTATTGCTGGAGTCACCAAACTTTTCCTATAAAGAGCAAATGATAAATATTGTTGGTTTTACGGGCCATCAGGTTCAATTCATTTAGTAGCAATTATGCAGCCCCGCTGTTCAGCATTGAAAGCAGCCATAAACAGTATTTAAACAAATGGACATGGCCATGTTCCAATAAAACAGATTTCAGAGATATGCAGAAGGCTGGATTCGACCCTTGGGCCATAGTTTGGTGACCCTTGCCTTATTGTACTAATCGGAAATGATCTCCAATATATTTCATTATGTCAAAGCTGAAAGAGTAGAACAGTGTCTGGTGCAACATTATGTCAGAATGAGAGGGGATAGAGTATGTGTTCACACACACACACAGACACACATACACACACGGAATTTCCCTGAAAGAATGAAGCCGATAACATCACTACCTCTGAGGAGAAGAATCAGGAGGCTGGCAGAGAGGGGGAAGATAAAAACTTGAAGCTGTATACCCTTTTGTGCCCTTTGAATTTTGGTCTGTGTCATATATTCTCTATTCAAAGAATAAAAAATCAGGACTAATCTTTCCAGACTTTCTTATGGCTTCCAATTACTTTTTTTTTTTTTTTGAGAACGAGTCTCCGTCTGTTTGCCTCCAAGGTCGGGAGTGCAGTGCGTGATCCAGCTCACTGCAACCTCGCCTTCTGCGGGCGGGGTTTTTCAAGGCGATGTTCCCTGCCTCAACCGTCTTGAGTACCTGGATTACAGGTTTGTTCCCCACGTCATGCCCAGCTAATTACTTGTATTTTTTAGTAGGACGCGGGGTTTCACCACAAAAAGGATCAAGCTGATCCCGCGAACCATCCTGACCTTGGGAATGATGCCCCGCTTCGGCCATCGCTAAAGTAACTGAGAATAACAGGCGGTGACCCACCTGAACCGCAACCAACAACCCCCCCAGCCACATTTAAATAAATAAATAAATGTATAACCCACATTTTCCTAATGCAACCGGTTTTTGATTGTAGCTTTTTGTTGCAGTTCATTCCCAGGGTGCTGACAGTCATACAAGTCATGTTTTGGTATAATGACAGACTCCTCCCCTGCACCCTCCTTCGTCAGATAGCCCAACTTATCACACGCCTCTAAGTTGGAAGAAGTTAAAGTCAAGAGTAACAAAATGGTGGCCGTGGGGTGGCTCATGCTGTAATCCCAGCACTTTTGGGAGTCCGAGGCGGGTGATCACCTGAGGTCAGGAGTTCGAGACCAGCCCGGCCAACATAGTTCGAAAACCCATAGGTCTCTACTAAAATACAAAAGTTACTTGGGCGCGTGGTTGCCACTGCCTCGCAGTCCCGCCATGTCCAGGAAGGGCCTGAGGGCAGGAGATCGATTTGAACCTGGGAAGCAGAGGGTTGCAGTGGAGCCGAAGATCATGCCACTACACTCCAGCCGGATGACAGAGCGAGACTCCATCTCAAAAAAAAAAAAAAAAAAAAAAAAAAAAAGTAACAAAATTATTCCTCGGCCTTCTAATTCCCAGAATTTCCCAGTCCCCCAACACTCTGGGACCGCTGAATGCATGTGCAAATGAGGATGGGGAAAGCAGGGAAGGTTAGGAAGGAAAAAAACTTGAGAACATGATACCAATGCTGGTTTCAAAAGTCTGCCAAGAAATTGTTTCTTTTTTCACAGGAAATCCGATGATGACTCGTGGTTGAGCAACGGTACCTATTTGGAACTTAGAAAAGATCTTGGTTTTTCCAAACTGGACCATCCTGTCTTATGGTGAAAAAGTAAAGAAGAAAGATAACGTTAGTGTATTTCTCCCGTGCTTGCTTTCTGAAGCGGCACAAACCTGTGTTTATATATTTAAACAGTACTCTAGGATGATCACTTGTGCTTAGCTTAGCATTGTAACTCATTAATTCTATATTTTCCTCAGTGCGTTTCTTTACAATTTCAAATGTTACCCTGATTGTTTATATGAATGTAGAACACCTTGACATTTCTTTTTATATATAAACTATTTAATAAAAATGAAAGATTGAATGTTCATGTGTGGGTTAAAAAAAGAAGCTTTAGCACTAATTTTCCAAAGTTTAGGGAAGATTCCAATTAAATTTATGCCTTATAAAATTATGTTGTAGAAAAAAAAAATCAGCCTCTCCCAGGTGCATTAAGAAGTGAGAATACCCGGGGTTACTCACCCACGCGTAAGCCACCCAAGTTTAATTTGGTAGCTGAGATATCTTTTTGCTTCAGACAGCTCTTGAATTGCTCATACAGAACAATTCTGCTGGTGCTGGAGTCTGAAGAATATCTTCATTTGCATTTTAGTGGTTAGGGAGAGGATATAAGATTAATGGAATGTATATTTTTATATAAGATGAATATGGCACCTTCTTGAAAAGGAAACATTTGAACTTGTTTCTCCCTATAGTTCTATTGCCTTGTGTGCAAAATTGTACCCTCTTGCTCAGAGAAATTATCATTAATAAGAGAAAAAATTCCAGTTAATTAAATATCACAGTAGCATCCCAAAGAGACAGTAGGAAATTTCTTCTTAGTGAGAGCTGAGTCCTTGAGAAGTTAAGAGACTGTTTCCTGCTTCCCACCCTACTCCTAGTTTTTTGACTCTCCGTTTGATCCACCTCCCTTATGCGTATGGAATGTCCCAGTTTAATATAAAACATATAGTTTATTCCACACAGCAGTTTGACTTTGTAAAAGTTTAGTAAAGTAACTGATTGTTTTGGATAACTCAACACGTTTTTCTTAAATGCTGTTTTAGTATTTTCTACCTCTTAATAAGCACCATATTTTAGATCTTGTATAAAAAGTTTGCCATCTGCCTTATAGACAAATGTAGAGAATTGATGTTCTTGCTTTGTGTTGTGTTCTGGTAAAGCTTTAAGTAAGTGTCTTACCCCTTTCCTAAACTTTCTTGTTATCCGTATCATTCTTTTGTGAGTTTTGCAGCAGTCTTGAATAATACAGATTATAACTACTGAAAGGGGAACCTTTGTCTTTTTAAATGTGTTATTTCACATTACAATAATATGTGTAGTAGTTGAATTGTGTTATCAAAGCAATTCCAACTTCTGCCCAGTTGGCATTAAAACCAAAGCCTGATTTTTAAGCCTTTTATTCTAAAGTCCATAGCAATCCTATGGAATATCAAGTATAATGATGTAGTAAAAAGATTTCTCCAGAAAACACTTTTACTTAAAGAAATTCAGAGCATATCGAATGTTATGAATGAAGAGTAAAATAATTACAGGAAAAGAATGCGTGATTTTTCATTGTCATACCAAATAACCAGTTGGACAATATTGCATTTTCAAAATGGAGAGTTATTTAAAGTGGATCTGTAGCCTTCTGGAATCTGCACGTGACTGGCACTTTAAAACAACTCATTAAATATGGGATTCATTTTATCGAGATGCCAAGATGAACACAATGTGAATATCATTTCCAGTTCTAAGCAGTTGAATGACACAGTCAGATTCTTTGGTGTGTGCTTTGTTCTTTCCATTTCAAGCATTTATCCAAATTCTGCTCACAGGCATGAGGAAGCAGGCTGTAGATTTAAGGGCACTCAAGGGGAAAACAAATGTAGTTTCCACAGTGTGAGGGTAAATGTAGAATCTTAGAAATATTGGCTGTTAAACTGGCCTGCTCCAGAGACTGGCTCAAAAAAGAAAGAAGCAACAAAAGCAAAATGTACAGGCTGAATGGATGTAGCACTGTCATGCAGCATTTGGAAATTCTTTAACTATCCTAATGTTGTTATTTCACTTGCCCTCATGCTTTGTTTAGAGTCCCAAGGACAACTGGAAGAAACATCACCTCTGTAGTCATCTTATTTGAGATGGGGGTGGGAATGAATTAAAATATGATACAGAATTATATGCAGATTTTAAAATCTAGTCACTACTAGCATCTATAAAGGGCTTTTCTGAAATTTAAACAGCTTGGTGATGATCCTGATACTATAAGCTTAAAACTATCTTGAGGGGAAAATGACTTCTTTTTTCCTTCTGTCCATTTTCTCAAAAGCATCTTTCCCCCGAATGTTATGTCTCCAGGACATTTTGTAGTTTTAAGAGGAAGAAAACAGAAACATGGCATCATTTGGGAAGAACCAAGGTAGAATTTAATTTTCTGGACTTTAAATCTCCTGGTTAAATAATGCTAATCACTGTACCATTTGAGTTACATGTTTTAACCTCTTTTTTTCCCCCCCCCTAATTATTCCATCCAAAAGTTCTGGTGAATTACACAGAAATTCTTGGAAATGGGACTTTGTGCAGGTAACCACCATGCACTTCAGGTGATGTTCCTGTCACAGCTGTTGACTACCCCATGCTGCAGGAAATCCATTCAGAAATGAGCTAACAGTCTCCAGTGTAGCAGGAGAGCCAATCAGTTCCCTCCCCAGGCCCCAAAGCACCCCAAGGCTGGTATTCCCTTGAGTCAAAGGTATTAATAATAAAAGCCTCAATGCAGCTTCTCCATGTAGTTCCTCTCCTAGAAGCCAGGTGGATTCTGCTCCTAACTAAAGAGATGGGAGTTCGCTTGAGGGCAAGAGGTACCCAGGATGCCCAAACAGCCGCACAGGTGTCCTGTGCTTCCTGTGAGACTTCTGGGGGAAATATACAAACTAATTTTTTAAAAAATGTTTACTTCATTTACGCTGCTGCTTTTCTCATATTCTGCTTTTAATTACTTGCAGTAAATCATTTGCTTGGGCTTCAAGCACTGTCCTCCATCTACATCTTCCAGATTTATCATGAGTGGTCTTGTTCTACTGTTAAAGATGTCAAGCCTAAAATAAAAATAATAAAGTTTTTATTTGGCTGTTGATCCTTGATGTAGCCCCTACTACATACACTACAAGTTATGCCTTCTGGCTACCACAGAATCTCTGCAGACCTTTTGGTTATGAGTAGAAGCAATAAGAAGTTGTCCTTATAGTCTTAGGAATAATGGTTCCAATGTATTGGCATAATTTGTTTGAATGTCTTTAATTTTGATATTAACACCGGCATAAATCTATTTTTGTTACCAGATGATAGCTATTTTTATTTGCTCTATTTTCCTCTGCATTGTACTAATCTGTTACTCAGTCTTCATTTTTCTATGTTGGAAACCTGTGTCATGTAAATATCTGCAAATCATGACGGTCTAAAGTGCAAACCATTTTCAGAGACTTTGGGGAAATGCAGTGATCAGAAGTGGCTAATTTATTTTATTTCTGATTATTTTATCCAGAAGATACTTTTTAAATAGATATTTGTAAATCTTCCACTTAACCACTGAAAATTATTTTGTTTTAATCCCACCCTTCCATCCTTACCTCTGTGCCTCCCCAAAAAGCTCCTGTTAATTTGCTTATCCCCCTCATGTAGCTAGTTGAATGTGAATAAATAACATGGAAAAGAGGCCACTTTTGTCTTTGTTTTTCCAGGTTAATGGGAAGGTTATTTGGCTGCTAAAAGGGAACAGAACAGGACCCTTGCCTGAACTCTTTCGAGGAGGAACACATCAGGTTACTGGAAGTGATGGGGGTTAGAGATAAGAATATCCTGGGACACAAAACACTTGGAACCCATAGAGTCACCATACCTTTCCCCTAACATTCCCAAGGCATGCCACAATTGTAGATCCCCCTCAGCCCATGGAAGAGAGAACTGAGGCAACTGGAGCCCCAGACAGGACACCTCCAGCCCCAGGAGCCCCTCTGTCAATGCCAGAGTGCTATGAAAATATTACAGTTGATTCTTGAACAATACAGGGCTGGAGCCAATACCCCATGCAGTTAAAATCCACATATAACTTGACTCCCCCAGATCTTACCTACTAATAGCCCACTGTTGACCAGAAGCCTTCCCAACAACACAGATAATTAACAGATCTGTTGTATGATATATGTAATATAGACTGTATTCTTATAATAAATTAACCTAGAGAAAAGAAAATGTTATGAAGAAAATCATTAGAGGGAAAATAAATATACTGTTAGTAAGTGGAATAAAGGTCACAGTAAAGGTCTTTGTCTTCATCGGCTTCACGTTGAGTAGGCTGAGGAGAAGGAAGAGGAGGGGTTGCTCTTACTGTTTCAGGGGTGGCACAGGCAGGAGAAAATCTGAGTATAATTGAACCCACACAGCTCAAACCTGTCTTGTTCATAAGGGAGGAGACCATCCCTCATATTGTCTTATGCCCAATTTCTGCCTCCAAAGAAAGAAGCAGCAACAACTAAAAGGCAGAAATGAAATCCACAGGCAGACAGCTCAGAACCAGGGGCCTGGTTAAAGATCGACCCCTGACCTCACTGCTTGTGTTTTCTATAGATTCCAGACACTGTATGGGAAAGCACTGTGAACATCCCTGTCCTCTTCTGTTCCGTTCTGATTATTGCTGCATGCAGCCCCCAGTCACGTACCCGCTACTTGCTCAATTGGTCTCGATCCTCCCACGTGGACCCCCTTAGAGTTGTAAGCCCTTAAAAGGGACAGGAATTGCTCACTCGGGGAGCTCAGTTTTGTAAGTCTGCTGATGCTCCTGGCCAAATAAAGCCCCTTCTTTCCTCAACTCGGTGTCTGAGGGGTTTTGTCTGCGGCTTGTCCTGCTACATTTCTCGGTTCCCTGATGGGCAAGTGAGGTGATTAGCAGGAGGTCGAGGCAGCCCTTTAGGTGGCTTAGGCCTGCGCTGTGGAGCATCCCTGCAGGGGACTCCAGCCGGCTTTAGTGACGCAAATCCTGAGAGCACTCCTGGGTGGGCAATTGCCCTGGTGGAACACCTCGCCACAGCAGCTCATGGTAGGCCCCCACGGAGGATTAACACAGCAGCTGAACACCAGAAAGGAATTGGCGCTTGGAGTCCAGACATCTGCAACAGGTAAGACCGGTCTTGGAACTTGCCCACTCCATCTGAGTGGAAGCCTGGCCTGATCACCCACGGCATGCCTTTATCGGCGCCTTGGTTTTGGTTTTGATTTTGACTAGATTTGCACTGTTTTGGTTTAGATTTCGGCATTGACTTTTGGATTTGAACTGTTTGGCTTTGATTTTGGTTCTGACTTGGCTCAAATTGCTTGATGAATGAGTAACTCCTTATCCAGACTTTGGTTTTAGTGTGAATTGCTTGGGGAGTGAGTGACTGTTTGCCCCGTTTTCCCTTCCCTCTTTGTGGTAAGAGTGTTGTTTTGTCTCCTAAGAGAGAACAATGAGTAAAACACAAGGTAAGTCTACCCCATTAGGGGCTATGTTAAAGAATTTCAAGAAAGGATTCAGTGGGAACTATGGAATCACTATGACACCTGGAAAGCTTAAGGCTTTGTGTGACATAGATTGGCCGGCATTAGAGGTGGCATGGCCATCAGAAGGAAGCCTAGACAGGTCCCTAGTTTCAAAGGTATGGCACAAAGTAACTGGTAAATCAGGACACCCAGATCAGTTTCCATACCTAGATACTTGGTTGCAGCTAGTTTTAGACCCCCCACAGTGGTTAAGAGGACAGGCAGCAGTAGTACTAGCGGCAAAGGGACAGACAGCCAAGGAAGAAAGAGTAGCTCCACTCCCGCCGGTCCCTCCCTTAGGGGAAGAGGAAGGAGAGAGGAGAACAGCAGCAGAAGCAGCAGGCAGAGGCAAGGAAAGACCAGCAGAGAGAGAAAAGAGAGAGGAAAAGAGGCAAAGGGGGAAAGAGAGAGAGGAAAACAGGCAAAGAGAGAAAAGAAGAGAGAGGAAGAGACAAAGAGGGAGTCAAAGAGAAAGAGGCAGAGAGAGAGGGCAGAGACAGAAGAAAGAGAAAGAGAGATATACAAGTAGTTAAGAAAAAAACAGTGTATGCTATTTCTTTAAAAGCCAAGGTAAATTTAGAACCTATAATTGATAATTAAAGGTCTTCTCCATGACCATATAACACCCCAATACCACTTTGTTGTCAGTGTAAACAAGGGCGTAGCCCAATAGCACTGAGGCCACTGATAACCCATAGCCTTCCTATCAAAATTCCTTAACCCAGTAACCCGGGATGGCCCAAATACATTCAATCTGTAGCGGCAACAGCTTTGCTAACAGAAAAAAGTAGAAAAATAACTTTTAAAGGAAACCTCATTGTGAGCACACCTCACCAGTTCAGAACTATCCTAAGTTAAAAAGAGAGAGAAAAGGGGGGTAGAATTTATGTAAAAAGAACATTATATAGTAAATTCTTGTCCTAAAATAAATTAACTGGTTGTTTAAAGAAAGGGATGTTTGCAATAAGTCAGAAAGTTGAGACGTGTCGAAGAATTGTCTGTGAAAGTAGTGAAACAAGAAAAAAAAATGTGCATTATAAAAAAGGAATTTATGCAAGAAATGTTGTATAATTTAAAAGTAATTAGGCCTCCTGAATGTAAAACTATTGAAGAAACAGTTTATATGCAAGGTGTATAAGAAAAGTAAAATATACTTTTAGTAAAAGGATTATAAAGAGGCATAAAAATGTGGATTTTTACCTACATTAAAAGGTTAAAAATTTTTTGGAGGTTTAAGCAAGTTTTAAAACGTTAACTATAAAGAAAATTCTGTGTGTAAACATGAGCTAAAGTTAAAGGGGTATCATCCAGTTTCTTTGTGAACTGGACATTAAAGTTAAAACACAACGGGTTTTTTTTAAAGCACTAACCTGCTCTTTTACAAAAATTATAAAAGTTTAAAAAGAGTCTATAAAAATCTTACCTTATGGTCAGACATTAAAAATTAAATAAATATCTCTACAAAGTTTTATTAAAACTAAGTTTAACATTAATAACACACTAATATAAAGGTGAAATTTAGCTTATCTGGTATAAAAGTCATACAGAAAGCATTGTCAAATATAAAATGGTGTTTGGCTTTCTTTGATCTAAAAACTAATAAAAATAGTTGCTAAAGGAAATTTCTCAGTAAGATGACACCAAGGTACTATAAAGTCCGCTGCTGATGTCCCCACATTTAAAACCAAAGGTCAATTTCTTAGAAATTATATACTTGGTTTATCTTGCACTTTCCTTTCCCTCAAAATTAAAAGTCTTTTAGCACATGTACCACCCCTAGAATTTCTGTTAAACCAGCACCAGCCTGAAAATTACGTTCTCATCGAAGGGTGGAAAAAAGAAAAACTTGAGCCAGCCAGGGAAGGACCCTACCTTGTGCTGCCAACCACCGAGACTGCTGTTTGTACAGCAAAAAAGGGATGGACTCATCACACCCGAGTCAAGAAAGCGCCACCGCTCAAGAGTCATGGGCCATAGTCCTGGGGAAAACCCTGCCAAACTAAAGCTAAGAAAAATGTAACTCTTTCATCTATTCTATTACTCATCTTCTTTCCTCGCTGTGTTGCTGACCATCTAGTTATTAACATAACCAAGTCAATTTCGCCTCAAACTATCGCATTTAATGCTTGCCTTATGTTATACCTTGTGGGGACTTGCCAAGTCAAAGACAGCCCTTTACTTCAGAAAAGTACCTCTGTTCCTCCTGACTCTCCTCAGAGTAGGCATTAGTACAGTAGGACCATTTTATCTGAGGAGATTTCAACAAAGACCCCAGTGTCAACCAGGAGTCTCGCTCCCTAGTGTAGAGCTTTCATGCCGTAGTCGGTCCAACATTCTGTGGGCCACTAAAGAGCAAGGATGGACCGCCCCAACCAGTTTTTGTAATTTCCTAAAATCATACATTCATTTTATTAGAGGATCATAGAAGTTAAAGACTTAAAACAAACGTTGACAATTAAGACAGGATACCAAGATGCAAATGCCTGGTTGGAATGAATCAAATATACCATTGGCCTGTTAAACAAAAGCAATTGTTATGCTTGTGCACATGGCAGGCCAGAGGCCCAGATCGTCCCCTTTCCACTAAGGTGGTCCTTCAGTCGACCAGGCGTGGACTTCATGGTAGCTCTTTTCCAGGATTCGATAGCCTGGAGTAATAGGTTGTGCCAAACTCTCTCTGCTGTATCCCAAAGTCAGGCACCCTGCGGGTCAGCCCCTGAGGGCCATCCAGCTTCCGTCTTCCAACACTAAGTTCACTTCGTCTCTCTCACGACAGGGAGGAAACTTAGCGTTCCTTGGAGACCTGAAGGGATGCAGTGAGCTTAAGAATTTTTAAGAGCTTACCAGTAAGTCAGCCCTTGTTCATCCCCAAGCAGGTGTGTGGTGGTATTGTGATGGACCTTTACTGGATATTCTGCCATATAACTGGAGTGGAACGTGTGCTTTAGTCCAATTGACTATCCCTTTCACCCTGGCATTTTATCAACCAGAGGCGCGGTAGGTGATAGAAGAGGGATGGATCTGGTTATCAGATGGAAGAGTAGCTATGCCACAACTGCTAGGAGCTGCAGTCATACTGGCTGTACATGAGACCACCCACCTAGGCCAAGAGTCACTTGAAAAGTTGTTAGGCCAGTA